TGAGACATTGTTTGTTTTCGCCTGGTGAACAAGACGCCAATGTGATTACCAAAATAATTAAATTTTATACAAATAAATTATACACTTGACAATCCATTTACTTTAATAATGTTGATTTCTGTTAATAATAATCAATTTGTTTTTATTACTAATGACGAATTATATAAAGCTTCAATTTCCATCACAATCACTAGCTATCCTTAAGGTTCAAATAAACGTTCTAAAGATATTAAAGCTATTCGAATTCGTATTTTACGGTGATCTTATTTCCTTTTTGTAGAATTTAAAAAAAAGTATCTTCCGATTTCCAGTTTGCTCTGGCTAAGATTTTATCTACGGGCTCTCTATCCATCCAATCCTTAAATGTTACAGCTGATCCAACGCTCCCTGGGGTTGCGTCGATACCAGCATCTAACAAGACTGATTTTACCCAACCCAAGACTATAGTTCCAGAAGCAACTTCGGCGGGACCTCACGCTGTTACTAACAGATTACATACTTCAGCTTCTTCACGGCTATCCCTACCAATTCGTATAAACTTACTTACCCAATGTACCGGATCTATGTTAATATTTTCCTTGTTTGTGTACAATTTCCAACCAGATTGTGAGTACGAGGTACAGTCAGTTTTAGATCCGTACATTGGCCAGAAAGTTAAACAATTTGCGTCTGTATCGTTTATTAAATTACCGTCAGAAGTACTTAAAAGTGTGAGGTCATGCATTCTAAGCGCAGAGCAGAGTAATAATAAAATAGCGCAACTTCTTCAGCTATTCAGCTATCAGCTATTACCTGACAACCAAAATATTAGACTATTTGTAACCCAAACACTTGTTTTAGTACGAGCTCTAGCCTCACTTGTGCCGATAGATTATAGAATCTGCTTTTGAGCTAAGCTCGCTATCTTTTGGACTACATAAAGTGGATATGACCAATTGGACAAAAATATTTCTGTATGCTAAATTTGCTTTAAGATGGAGATCAAAAAAAAAATTCAAAACCTGTCTGACTTAAAATTAACCTCAGAATGATGGCACCATCTAACCCACCGCGCCCATGCTGGTTTGTAGGTAATTATCGTAGATGTTCGCCATTTCGCACGCAATAATGTCTTTTTTGTTGGGTAGAGCACGTTTCTACGGCTTTAGACCTCCCCACATTTCCAAATTTCCAGTGTCATTTTCTGTACTTTTGGCGGAGGATGGCCATTCGATACGTCTATTAGTTTGGTTTCTAAGCTGTGGACTGTGAAGACGGGGCTATAGCACGCGACTTTAAATCCACTCTCCAAAAGGTTTATATCCACCTCGGTGCTACTAACAAAAATGTGCCTTTTGGTTGATTGAGATGCGTGAGAACACTCGGGATTAGATTCGACAGTGGGAATATCCACGCTAGTTTGAATGCGTTGTGTCTCCAAGCCATACGATCTGTATGATCCAAACTGACATATCTCGGTAAAACATGGGCACGATGCGATGTGAACAGATTTGCTTTTGGGGTACCATATTTTTTGAAAACAACCTCTGTTAGCGTAGGACGTAGGTGCCATTCGGGCAGTATAATCCTTCGAGGTAGGCGATTGGCCATACTGTTGAACATCCCTGTAATGTGACTATGTAAGTATTTCTTAATATTTTGAAGATCTGGTACGGTAAGCTCATCAGTTGTATTGAACGACATCCCCCTCCTTTTCTCAGACATGCCACAACAGATTTGTTGTCGCATTAGAGCAGTGCAGAAGAATGACTCGGATAAAAAGCAAATTAATCTAAGCATTTTAGAACGGTTAGCATTTCCTTCTGATTGGAAAGAAGTCCTTCTCCGTTCATTGCCATTCGTCTCGAACCTGTATGCCATTAAGTTGCGCTCCATCCCGAGTCGGCTGCATCTGTTGTGAGAAAATTAGTTCTGCATCCACCATCTGAGTTTTTGATCTTTCGTAAGCGAAGAGAGACTTCCTTTAGTGACGTTTTCCGAAGCATTTCTTTGCATTGTGTTAAAAGACAGCGGAAGTTTAATCTCCGTTGCGGAACGGCCAGCCGGGCAAAATTAAAGGTCCAACCAAACTCTGAAGTTCGCGAAGTGATGCTTTTTGCTATTTCACACGCCGCGCATTTTATTTGTGGTAAAAGTTTTATGTTCTTCCACGTATCCCTAAACCTAGATATTTCAATGATTTCTGGGGGACCAGAATCGATTTGGAGGTGTTGTCAACACCTCCAAATCACCCAGCCTAACTCTCGTAGGGTTCTGAGAACACCGCTAAAAGCTCGTCGAGAACGACAATGACTCGAATTCGCTGCTCTCTCTAGATTCCCGCTGTCCAGTTTGTTAGAGTTGCAAATTTTAGGGGGCCGCCCCAAAATAGCAAAGAGGTCATTTGCAGAAGATGACCCTTGTAAATTTGCCTAAAAATATCGGTGGAATGGTGCTATAGGGACGTGGTAAAAATAGACCATATTCAGGCGTATGAGGCGTAAGGCCTATTTCTACCATCCAATCGTTTGGATGTAAAAATTCAGGGATTCGATGATCTGATATGTCTAAAATTGGTTAGCTTTAAAAATTTGTTTATTCTTTTCAGATTGAAAATGGGGCGCGTATTACTATCGCTATTTGGGGTTAAAAATAGGGTTGATAAAAAAAACTGGGAGTTTCGGGAGTAGTCTCTCAAATCCCTTCCGTTCATAAATCCATTGCGTACAATGGAGCGGTCTGATGGCGGTTGTCGGTAAGGCACGATAAAAGAAGTGGCGGTCGTGCTTGGAAAGGAATCGGTGCACCGAATTTTTACCAGACTGCTGCAAATGTCGCTAGCCTGCTCCCTTAAAACAGTTATGTTATGTCAAAACTTTCTACTACCTCTTCCACTGCCTCGCGGGCCATTAGTTTGACTTGATTTTTTTTTTTGAACGAATGGCTTTCTTGGATTGGCTGAAGCTTGAACTGGTGTAACTGACTTAAATTGGGGCCGAAAAAATGTTTGACTTCCAGCATAGGCCAGGAAATCATAGTTAAACGCATAAGGTTGCATAGGGGAATACGATTGCAATTGATATGATTCAATTCCCTGAGGAGATTGAAATCGTAAGGCAGACGGTGCCGCGGAGCGACCGGACTGCTTATAATTACTGAGTCCAGGTTGCGCAGCCTGAGATCCCGATGTGTCTCTCTTTTGCGCAGAGAAGGAGGGTTTTGAGAAAATTTTATTAACACCACCGTTATTTTTCAAAAACTCGGAAAATGGAGGACCATTTACTGAACAAAGAGTCACAGGATACGGGTATTCTTAAGTGTAGATTTTAAAAATGTATATTTTACTAAATTTAAAAATCACGATTATGTCGGTTCTACGACCACGGAGCAATTGTAAGCAATAGAGGGAAATTTTTTGAAGATTGCCTGTTAAACTCTGTTTAATTTTAGTAGGCAAAATTTCTTTATCACTGTCATTCAACCACTGTACTAATTCTGATAGTCCCATTTTTAAAGCGTCACTTTGCATAATTACTGTATGCGTAATCGCCCTTAGTGTTCCGAAGTAAAAAATTAAAATTAAAGAAATAAATGTTTACTTTATAAAACTGACTAATCTCATCATTTACCTCTAATTTCACAAACCCCGGCTTAGAAATATAAGACTTGAATTTCTGAATAACGGACATTCGCCCAATTTTCCGATTTAAAATGTAATGAATTTGACAGTTTTAAATGGAAATGCTCTTTGAGAGTCCACAAATCGAATTCAAATTTTAAGGGCCGACTCGGCGGGCACTTCCATAGAACATTGTACTTGTCATAAGTTGTCCGTGTTCATGCCCACGGTGGGTTGACGCTCTAGAATATTCGGGTACCAGCCCAGAGGATGGTAGGCCCTACATGCTAAGTAATTTTGGATTTGACTTACTTGTTGGGTAAGGTGTTCTAATACCTTACTCTTTTTACGACTTCCTCTCTCCTTGCGCGACTGCTTTATGTTACGAAAATTTTGCTGATCTTCATCGTCGCTGGTTGATCAGGACGACGATGATACACACTGGGCGCGCACACTCTCTATCCTCCCGACATTATTTATTTAAACAATCTTTATGACACGAACGAAACTACAACTTTAAGTAATTTTACTAATATTATTTAGAAGAATATTTTTTTTTTCACGAATGCTAATAGCGTTAGTACTTTACGGCTCGAAAGTCAAGACGCCAATGAAGATAACCCCGATGGTCGTCACCTGGTGAACATGGCGGCCGGAAGTTACATATTTCAGCAATAATTGGAACTACAACGACTAAAATACGGCCGGAAACAGAAGATGTCATCTCAATATTGTTTACAAGGCCTCGAATAACGGCAAAGGCCATAATAATTAAATATATTGTGGATTTTTAATTTAAAAAATTTCATCATCATCATCATCATTTCAGCCTGTTTGAGTCCACTGCTGAACATAGGCCTCCCCCACAGACTGCCATGAAGCACGATCCTGAGCCACCTGCATCCATCGACTTCCCGCACATTTGCACAGGTCGTCACTCCATCTAGTGGGGGGTTGTCCTATACTGCGATGGCCAGTACGAGGCTGCCACTCGAGAACCTTTCTTCCCCAACGGTTATCGATTCTACGAGCTATATGGCCGGCCCATCGCCACTTCAGCTTGCTAATCCTCTGAGCTATGTCGGTTAAAAAATTAATAATTAAAAATACTGTAGTTTTAGTTACGAATTGATTTATTTTATCAGAATTTAATTATTCATTCCATTACATATCCAAATACAACATGGCTACGAACTGCAGAATTGAAAGATAACATTGAGTTTAATATTATGGTTCTACAAATTGATATTATTTATCCTTAACTATGTATTGAGTATAGTGATGGCAAAGCAATTTATTAAATGAATTTACAGAACAAATATTTGTGTTAAGAAACATAATTATAGCACATAGTTTAAAGCATTAAAGATTTGAATATCAATAAGCGAGTGTAATACTCCTAAAAAGAAAAAGGAGTGCCCCAGGGGTCCAACCACAGCTGCACCAATATCGTATACGGCGTTATTGCTGTCGGCCGTCCACCCAGCACCCTTGTAAACGCCAGCTGTAAACAAATTCAATTCAAATATCTTTATTATGTATCATATATCTATATGTATAATCTCAAAGTTATTAACAACGACCAAGTTAAAATACAGCCAAAAGATCCAAAAACATACAGGACCATTGTACAACAACTAGAAATTAGAAACACAGAGTTCTACACATACAAACCCAAGAATGAACGGAGTTTTAAAGTGGTTCTTAAAAACATGCACCCCTCAACCGATCCTGAGGAAATCAAAGCGGCGTTAGAAGAAATAGGGCATTGCAGTACCAATATATGGAACATCAAACAAAGAGTAACAAAGAAGCCACTGTCACTATTTATAGTTGAATTAAAAACAAGCCCAAACAATAAAAGCATATATGAGGTTAAAAATCTCATGAACTGCATAATAACTTTTGAACCTCCCCGACCTAAACGTGAATTACCACAGTGTGCCAAATGCCAACAGTACGGACACACCAAAAGGTACTGTCGCCGGAGCCCTAAATGTATTAAATGTGCTGGTGACCATCTCTCGATCGAATGCTCAAGGAAAACCAGGTCAGACAGTGTAAAATGTGTCCTCTGTGATGGAAATCACCTGGCAAATTATAAAGGTTGTAAAATCTACAGAGAGCTTCAAAATCTTAAATTTCCAAAGGCACCAGAACGCAGTAACACCTATGTTCGCAGCAATGAACAAGAAGCCACAGCCGAAAATAAAAAATCTAAGGATAAAGAATCTCTAAATAGCCAACATATGTCATACAAAGAAGCACTAACCAATAAAAATCTGAACAATATAACAACAGAGACAAATCACACCCACCAAAATGATATGCTTGAATTAATGAACCTTATGAAACAGATGATGCAGCAACTGACCACTATGACAAACCTGATATTAGCTCTCACAACCAAGCTGTCAAATACGACTGCTTAAAAATTGCCCTATGGAATGCCAATGGGCTGTCACAACATACCCTTGAGGTAAAGGCATACTTAGAGACACAAAAGATAGATATCCTCCTAGTTAAGGAAACACATTTCACCAAAAAGAGCCACTTTAACATCCAGAACTATAAAACCTATCACACAATGCACCCCGACGGCAAAGCACACGCTGGAAGTGCAGTTCTAATAAGATCTAATATTAAACATCATGAAACAGTACATTACTGCACAGATGAAATACAATCTACAAATGTGGTCATCGAAGATTGGGCAGGACCTTTTACAATCTCGGCTGTTTACAGTCCACCTAAACACAAACTTAAGTTAGAAGACTACATAAGGTTTCTTTCTACAATGGGCCACAGATTCATAGCTGGAGGTGATTACAATGCCAAGCACCACTACTGGGGCTCACGTACCATAACTACGAAAGGTAGGCAGCTGTTAATGGCCATTGAGAAATTAAAACTAAATATTATTTCCCCCGGAGATCCGACATACTGGCCTACAGACTTGAATAAATTACCAGACTTGCTTGACTTCTATATTACAAAAGGCATACCTAACAACTTTATAACAAGCAATACGAGCACCGAACTATCCTCTGATCATTCCCCGGTAGAAATAGTACTAAAAAGGAAAATTACAGTGGTACCTAAACCTTGTAAGCTACACTCCAATAAAACCAACTGGGAGCTCTTCAGACAGCTATTGACAGAAAAATTAGATCTAAAAATTCCTTTAAAGACGGACGACAATATAACTGAAGCGGTAGAACACTTCAATAGATGCGTTCAACAATCTGCCTGGTCTGCTACACCTGCTGCCACAGACTCGTACCATAAACAAAATCATTACCCAAAAACTGTAAGAGAACTATTAGCTGATAAACGAAAAGCTCGGAAAAAGTGGCAAACAACAGGTTATCCTACCGATAAAAAACATCTAAATTATCTTCAAAAAAAACTAAAAATCCTGCTAAAAGACAATGAAAACCAGGACATACAAACATTTCTAGGAAACCTTGATGCTACCGCAGAGACAAATTACTTCTTGTGGAAAGTCACTAAAAAACTTAAACGCCCGGCAAGTAATCAACCTCCTATCCGTAAAAGTAACTCAGAATGGGCTTCTAGCGATGCGGATAAAGCTGCAACATTTGCTGACCATCTCAAACAGGTCTTTATACCAAATCCAGATATAGGCTCCTCTAAAATCCAAGAAGTCACAGAATTATTGAGCCAAATCCACCAACTCGATCCTCCCATTAATAAGCTGACTTATAAAGAAATAAAAACAGCAATTAAGGCTTTAGATCCAAATAAAGCTCCTGGTTACGATCTTATAACAGGAAAAATCCTAAGGGAGCTACCAAAGGAAGGAATTAAATTTCTCACTTTCCTGTATAACTCTATCTTACGAAGAGGAACGTTCCCTCCTTAATGGAAAATAGCCCAAGTTATAATGGTTCCTAAGCCCGGAAAAGAAATCCAGTTGAGCCGCAATCATATAGACCTATTAGTCTGTTACCCATACCCTCAAAAATCATGGAGATACTTATCTTGCATAGATTATCCCCGATTATTGCCGCAAACAATTTAGTACCGGACCATCAATTTGGTTTTCGTCGAAAGCATGGTACTATTGAACAAGTACACAGACTAGTGGAACTTATAAACACAGCTCTTGAATCAAAACAATACAGTGTTGCGGCGTTCTTGGATATTTCACAGGCATTTGATCGAGTGTGGCATGACGGACTACTTTTCAAAATAAAAAAAGCCCTACCTATAAACTTCTACAACCTAATAAAGTCATATCTAAGCGACAGACATTTTTGTTAAACAAGGAGAAGAGATAACGTCTCTATATTCTATTAAAGCTGGAGTTCTGCAAGGCAGCGTCATGGCTCCCACGTTGTATCTGCTGTTTACAGCTGATCTCCCTACCACCGATGGAGTAGTTACTGGAACATTTGCTGATGACACAGCAATTATATCCATGGACAATTCACCAGTCATTGCAGCACAAAAGCTTCAAAACACTCTCGATCAATTATCCAAATGGCTCAAAGACTGGCGAATCAAAGCCAACGAAATCAAATCTGTCCAAGTTACCTTTACAAACAGGAAAGAAACATGTCCACCCGTCACTCTAAATGGCATACCTCTACCCCAAGAGGATCACGTCAAGTATCTTGGAATATACTTAGATAGACGCCTAGCCTGGAAAAAGCATATTTTCACAAAACGATTAGCTATGGGCCAACAGTTGCGTACTATGTACTGGCTACTTAATAAAAAATCACAACTCTCACTTCAAAACAAGCTATTGCTATATAAATGCATAATAAAACCTATATGGACATATGGGCTAGAACTCTGGGGAACAGCAGCTAAATCCAACATTGAAATTATACAGAGATTCCAGTCAAAGATATTAAGAATAATAACGAACGCACCTTGGTATATCTCTAACATTAGACTCCATCACGACCTCTGCGTCAAAAGCGTCATCAGTTTCAAATCCACACAAGTAAACAGTTAAGACACATCAGTATTCCATAACTCATATACTGATAACTGAAGGGCATGCAATTGTTCCTGCTGGTGCATGAATACTCAAATAGGCAAGTTCGTCTGGGTAGTGCCACTGCCTTACAGAACACCAGCGTGAAGAGGAAGAAAGAAGTCAGAAGAAGAAGGAAGTAAGAAATACTTTCGCTTTTCGTCTGGTAAGTGCGTTAAACAAGGCCACTTTTTTTAAAAGTTTTCGACGTTTTGACAAGCTCTCACATGTTGCAGATGTCCATGGGCGGCGATATTCACTTAACATCAGGTGAACTCCTGTTCCCATGAAAATTTTCTTCACATAAAAAAGAAATGTATTTATAACTGTAATAAAAATTTTGTAGGCATAATTAATTGTTATAGCAAAAAACTTTTAATTTTGATTATAAAATCTTGTCAGCACATTTAGTTAAATACATATTACAATTTTTTATTCCATAAATTTCAACCTCAAAGATATAAATAAAAAGGCAAAACTTACTTTGAAACAACCTATTTGATATTCTTATTTTTTTTTAATTCAAAAATATAGTTTCCTGAAGCTCATTTTCGTTTGTATAACTTGTTCTGGACAATGCTCAAATTGCACATCGATATAAAAGATACAATGTTAGCGATGTTGTTGGATATTACTTAAAAGCTGGCACGATCAGTAGCGCAGTAACTAAGCAAGTGGTTTCACCACATTGGGCTGTGTGTTACTTTCCTGTCCAACACATAAATGTCCGAGAACTGTGTTTATCCATGTGCCGGTTGGTAAAAATCTTTGATGGAAAGAACTTAAACAATATGAACACTTGAAAAAAAATGACATGTGTTGCCTTCGTTATTATATGTATTTATATAGTGGAAAACTGTAATTGGCTTTCAATATGATGTGATAATCTGGAAGAACTATTATATGATATGCTGTTGTTTTCCCGAATAAATAAATAAATAAAATAAAAAAATGGTTGACGTGAATGACTTGTTAATGTTTGAAGACATTGTGTATATTTATTTGTAAAAAACAAATTAAGCTTAAGCTTACTCACCAAAGTCCAATAATAGGGTAGACAGCAGAATGTAAAATGTATCTTGAAAAAACAACACAGCTACAAACAGTTTAATAAAATAAACAGTTTTCTTCTCAGTTGCTTTCATAGGACTGGATGTTTGCAATGCTGTACATGTCTGCTACTTTCTTGGACCTAACGTGACTTATAAATGATTATAGTCTATTATATAGTCTGACTGCAAAGTTTTGATATTTTATTTAATATAACAAATTATTGGAGTTGTGAAGTAAATTTCTAATATCTTTACATTCCCAATTTTAATTTAAATAAAAATTAATTTTTTATTAAAATGAAAATCGGGAAAACTCATAGTAGCACATACACTGAACTAGTAGAATTGCAAAATGATGAGTAAGTTAAAACTGAAAAATCTATATTGAAATTATTTAGAATTTAAATTTCAGTTACTCATTTCATGTCGTAGGATGAGAAATTTTTCAATCAAACGTACAGCTATTCTGTATTCAAGGCGTTCTAAACGTTTATCTATATCATTACTATTTTCAGTATCCTCTAGCATTTGCGATACTGAGGCCCCATTAGTAAACGTCTGTAAGCGTAATAGCTCTGCATTCTGAAATTTTTAAATTAAAACCGATCATCATAAAAACCATGAATAAAAATATTTTTCTCATATAAAACTTACAATTTTCCTCGCATCAAGCCCAGATGTTTGTCTAGAACTAGACATGGTTGTTCGTTATATACGTTCGTATAAGAATTAAGAATAAGAACCACAGAATTATAAAACAATGTGATTCTATGTTTAATGACTAGTATTCAATTTCAATCTTCTCTCAAATCAAAACTCAAATCGCTAAGAAGTAAATCAATACACAATGATAGGGATGGCGAAAAATGTATCGATATATCGATATAAAAAATTGAATATCGAAATCGTATCAAGAACGATATTTTTATTCAAACTGATTCAATGCCGTAAAAGATAAAAATGAACGGAAAAAAAATGTGGTCTAATAGTACTGTCGCGGATGAGGAATTGCATTTTGTACTATAATGGAGGTATTTATACTACTCGCTGCCTGCCGTGTTTCGTGCTATAGTGGACAGCGAGACGGCGTTTGGTGCTGTACTTGCTTTTTGTGAGGACATAATCACCCGGAAGGAGGCCACGTAGAGAGAAAGGGAGGCAACTGCCACCCTGGATATCCGCCGCCGGAGACCAGGGCGCAGGAGGCTGGCCTACGCGCGCAACCTTCCCCCCTGATAGTGAGACCTTTTTATTGTTGACGTGGGGACGCGGAGGCAAGAGCGGGTTATGTTGGACTCGCACCGACTAAACCCTCACAATGTTCCACCTAGGCGCACAGATCACACCGCACTCGCCGGTGTGTTTTTACGTAATTGTTTTATACTGTCGATGGCAATAGTCGTCTCATCGTCAGGGAAATCGAGGACGTGTCGTGGTCTGCGCCATTTGCGACGGAACGTACTTAGCGGTAGGGGTCTGTAGGTGACGGCACCTACGACTAACGGATTGGCCCCGAACACCGGACCAACCACCGTTGCAGTGTGAAATTAAATTAGAATAATGCACCAAGCTATGCTTGGAATGATTTTTTGTTGCCCCTAGGATAACATGATCCTGTGTTTTAAGGACGTTTTACAAACGTGAATTTCACGTGTACAAACACCCAGATGCGAAACAACTATCTGTGGGTCACACAAATAGTTGTCCCGTGTGGGAATCGAAAAAATTTAACAAAAAAAATTTACTTTGTAACATCCTTATGTATAAAACTGTTACGTAGAGTTCATTTGTAAAGGTCACAAAGCAAATGAATGGGTTGAATGAATTTAAAAGAGACAAAACATACTGTTAGAAGGAGAGGCTTGTAATTCGCGCTGTGGCGCGAGTTGTATAGGTGTTACAAATTTTGTTTCTTTTTTACTTAATTAGTTTGTTTGAAAATTTTTTTTTTTAATTATGGATTTTGTTTAACGTTAATATTTTTTTATGATTATTGGCAAGTAGCGTAAGACGTGTTCATTTATTGTCGCGATGGTAACGACACGCTGTTTAGTCAGTGTCGGAACGTAGATCTGTGTTCAGACTGTTGTGTCGGAAAGTATATCTGCGCTACTAACGCACCAATAAATTCTGATATCTATACTCAAATTTCTTAATTTTTATCAAAGAAATACAACTATTTATTCAAAACAACATGTATTCTGTTTTCATAACATACAAATATAAAAACTAAAACGTTTACCATGAATTACTTATTAATATATTTCTTTAGGATGTCGTATTTGTTGATAGCTTATAGTAAGAATTGCTTCGAGTAAATAGCACAAACATTCTACAAAGGCAAAAAAGTAATAAGTGTATAGTTAAGTCATATATATAGCTTTACAATAAACCTAAATCATATAGATTATGGTTTTCATTACAAATATTGTTCCGAAGAACAGACCAAGGTTTAAATGTATTAGCTACGATGTAATTGAGTAGGTATTGAGTTTAATTCTGTTGCAACGATGTTAACTCTTAAGTGTTCTAAAAGATAGCGGTAGTAGTACAATAACATTCTATCCATACCATATTGTTAATGTTTAGGTTTTATATGATTTTTATTAAAAAAAGCATTAGATTCTATATTAATAAATTTAGTGTCGAGCAATAGCTAAAAGAAATTTTTAGCAAAAAAATATACCATTTTATTTATTTGTATTGTACAATAAATAAAATGGTATAAATTGTTATTTTTATTGACATAGTCCACACCGATTAGTGTTGTATGTTATTAGCCCAGCGGCTTCGTTCGTTCCCGAGCAGTCAGGATAATAACAACTCTTGCACGATGACACCATCCGCTCTGCTGTACCTTCATGACCCCGAACGAATCGGGAGTACGTTCACGACCCCACAGTCCCGCAGATGGATGGCGGTTTGAACATAAACTTTGATTGCGATCGATAGTAGAAACTTAGAGGAAGCAGTTATGATGTTTCTGCCCTAATTTACCGATCAGTCAGCACGTCATGTGTAAGAGCTGTACGAACTTATTTTGGATAATCAATAAATAGACTTAGTTGCTTAAAGATTTCACGGGCGGAACTACCTACCTTCAAATAAAAATCGTCGCTATCAACCTTCATTCAGCTGTGGCAAAACGGGATCACTCCCTGTTGCCCTCTACCACGAACGCACTACATAATGTTGTACATTTACGTGTAATTACACACAACGTTCTTATTTCTCTGAGCTCTGCTGAATTCTTTCAACTTTTCTTACAGAAAAAAACCTTTATGCGAAATTTCCATTTGTTTTTTTTAAATGTCCATTTGGACGATCCGATCGGTGAAATGGGATAGATATTTTTGTGTACACTGCGAGATAGTAGCGCATTCCGCAGTAAAATGCAAATATTTTTAAATACCTACCTAAATTTTACGTATTTAACAAAGGGTAGCTCACCTCGGCTCTGGCGGTCCTAGGTTCGATTCCCGCACGTAGCGTGTATTATTGCGACTCACAGATGATACTTCCGGATCCAGGTGTTTATTTCCAAGGAGGGTTGGTTGTAAGACAAGCACGTAGCCGGTCGTAAAAATACTAACCAATAATATATTAACAACACGATTCAGGGCAGGAGAAAGAAGGAGACGAAGGCAAACGTTTTAAAACATTTTGATTTCATTTTCGGGAGTCGGTATTGAATAATATAACATTTGTATATTTACTAGCATCAACTCACCTCTGTTGCTCTCCACCCTACCAATGTGCACAGCGATTAGGTGCAATTTCAGCTCCAGGTTTCGTTATTCTCCCTTGCTTAACGGATTATATTAACAACGCGTTGTTTATTAATTATCAACACAAACATCACGTGAAAACGTTAATGCTTATAACTTTTTTTTTAATAATTGTACATTTAAAGATATCACAATATTCTGATACTTGTCTAAAAAATAATTGAAATTTATCCAGTAGTTATACGGCAAACGCTTATTATCTAATAAAGTTTGAAAAAATATTAATAATTAAAAATATTGTGGATTTATAATTAAAATAATTTAAAAATACTGTAGTTTTAGTTACGAATTGATTTATTTTATCAGAATTTAATTATTCATTCCATTACATATCCAAATACAACATGGCTACGAACTGCAGAATTGAAAGATAACATTGAGTTTAATATTATGGTTCTACAAATTGATATTATTTATCCTTAACTATGTATTGAGTATATAAAAACTGTTACGTAGAGTTCATTTGTAAAGGTCACAAAGCATATGAATGGGTTGAATGAATTTAAAAGAGATAAAACATACTGTTAGAAGGAGAGGCTTGTAATTCGCGCTGTGGCGCGAGTTTTATAGGTGTTACAAATTTTGTTTCTTTTTTACTTAATTAGTTTGTTTGAAAAATTTTTTTTTAATTATGGATTTTGTTTAACGTTAATATTTTTTTATGATTATTGGCAAGTAGCGTAAGACGTGTTCATTTATTGTCGCGATGGTAACGACACGCTGTATAGTCAGTGTCGGAACGTAGATCTGTGTTCAGACTGTTGTGTCGGAAAGTATATCTGCGCTACTAACGCACCAATAAATTCTGATATCTATACTCAAATTTCTTAATTTTTATCAAAGAAATACAACTATTTATTCAAAACAACATGTATTCTGTTTTCATAACATACAAATATAAAAACTAAAACGTTTACCATGAATTACTTATTAATATATTTCTTTAGGATGTCGTATTTGTTGATAGCTTATAGTAAGAATTGCTTCGAGTAAATAGCACAAACATTCTACAAAGGCAAAAAAGTAATAAGTGTATAGTTAAGTCATATATATAGCTTTACAATAAACCTAAATCATATAGATTATGGTTTTCATTACAAATATTGTTCCGAAGAAAGGCGGAGTTGCAAAATTGAGCGCTTGTGTTTTTCACCGTCAGACAGCGCATTTTTTATAGTCCGCTACCCGACAGACCAAGGTTTTCATTCCGCTTCGTGCTCTCGTACGGAACGGAACTCTCTCTAAGACGGAGGGCTAATGCCACCCGAATTAGACGCTACTCGCAACTTCGGTTGCAATTTAAATCTTTGTGCAAGCAGTGCAGTAGTTTAGTGTTAGTGTTGTGCTCGTAGGCAGGTTCCTGTTCTGTAAGTAGAATTCTATACACACTTCTATACACGCCTCAGAGGCGGCATTGTTTTTATTTAATAACTGTGTGCTTGTTGCGATAGGCGACAGCTAGGTACCCACCCTAGCGCACCTAAAGCGCAGGCTTATTAGTTGTTAGTTTTAGGCACACACCTCCCTGCCGCAAGGTGGGGAGGCTTATTTAGTAACTTACACGCCGGCGGGGCGCAAGCCCCAAAGGCTCAAGCGCTCGAAATGGGTTCCCTCCTAGAGGAATTCCTTCGCCAACGATGTCCCGAAGTGTGGGCAAACTTTTTCGCGTTCGCGAAAGAAAAATATTTAGTCGTCGAGTTCGCCAGCGACAGCCCGGCTTCACCGGCAGTCGCCTCGCCGTCATCTCCGGCGCTCTCAGCGCCCGTTAATGCGTCGCCTTCAGCGACACAAGAAAAGCCCGTCGCGTCGACCTCCGCAGCCGCGATCGTACCCATCGCGCCTTCCGCGCATCCCATCTCGGCCCCCTTCCGCGCCGTCGTTCCCGACTCACAATCGGACGGCGGATCGGAC